ATCTGTGTGGACGATGACACTGTTTTTATCTGCTCCATGTGCCCGGTTCACTTGCTGTTCCAGCAACTTCCACTCCATCATCAGCTTTAGTCAAATAACCTGATAGCTGGGGAATTTACTAAGTCGTGTTTTTTATGTTGTATTTGAAGTTTTTCATTTTTTGAGCCCCTCTCTTTTTTAGAATTGCTGACATTTTTACTTATTGAGTGTTGTTCTTTGCGCGACCATTTCCAGAATACTCCAGAACAAAGTGAAGAGAGGTGAATGCAGACATACTGGTGGGCAGCAATCACCTGATAGATACATGCGCATATCAAAATCAAATATAGAATAAATGCATTTGATTGGTAAACCAAATTCAAACTTTACGTTTCAATCTCAAATGGTAACGCATGGAATTTACGGGAAAGCTCAACTAAATAACAGCGCTAATAAGTGGGGGGCGTGGTGGCTTTTTGGCGATCGGTGCTCCAGTCAATCTACTCCACAGCCAATCACAGGCCCCCTCCTTGCTCGGGCCCCGGGGCTTCAGCCCCGCCTAGCCCAATGGTTAAAACGGCCCTGACTACATGTGTAAGTGGGCAGAATAAGCTGCAGAGTTTATGACAGACCTAATATAATTTTTTTATTTTTTTCTATATGCATTTGAAAGAGGTCTCTTCTGCTCACCAAGGCTTCATTTATTTGATTAAAATACAGTAAAACATTAATATTGTGAAATATTATTACAATTTACAATATATTACAATAAAGAACTGTTTTGTATTTAAATATATTTCAAAATGCTATTTATTCTTATGACAAAGCTGAATTTTCAGAAATTATTCAATTTCAAGAAACATTTGTTATTATTATCAATGTTGAAAACAGTTTTTGTAGCTTAATATTTTTGTGGAAACTGTGACTACATCCAAATGTACATTTTATTGTATGCATTATGTATTATAAAACATAATATTTAATGTGTGAAAGTCTTGTGATGCTTTTTGTTACTGGAAAAATAAAATAAAATAAAAAATATAAATTATTTCCATATTTTTGCAACAAAATAATTTTTTATGATGTATGGAAAGCACTCTATTTTTTCCACCCTCTCCTTTACAAACGCACACACATTCTGTACAGTACAGACACATACCCGCACACACAGAAATGTACACACACACAGAAACCTGTTGTCAGCGCTGCTCTGATGATTTTTTTCAGTAAAACAGTTTAACAACTTAAAAGCTACATGTCATTTCTCACAAGCGAGGTAATACGGCGCTGTTCTTGAATCAGATGAACTTACAGTTTCGCTATTACTTGAGACTCTGCTGCCGAACTCTGTTGAGAGACGCACAGACTCAGGTAATTCACATACTTTTAATCTCTCTCTCTCTTTCTCTCTCATAATTGCATTGATAACTGAATTATTCTGCTATCAACGGCTCAAGCCTCAATTACTGGGTCTAAAATGGCGTTTTGGAATTACAAATGGAGGCGTGGGATGACACGAGTTAGAAATTAATCCTACACACGAGCGTTTTAAGGGCAAAAACCTGATGAATGTCTTGAAATACAACATCTGAACTATTTTTGAGGTGTGGTAACCATAGTATAAGTGGAATACCTGACTCCGGTCTGTTAAATTATTAGAAAATAATGCACACCCGAGGTATTATTGCATTATTTCCACTTATTTTATTTCGGCATTAGTATTTTCTAATAATTCAACATCGTTAATTATTCCTTACTAATATAATATAATATAATATAATACAGTCAAACCAAAACGTATTCAGACACCAGATATCATTTTTGATATTTTTTTTACTAGTGGGTGCAGGACACTATAGTTCATTTAAGTAAGTGAGGATAGCAAAATAAAGTAAACTGTGACATATTATACCCAAACATTATTCATAGAGTGGACTACCAGTAAAATTTATAAAAATTTGGGACCAAAATTCAGACACTTTGACCTGACCATGTTTTGCTTAAGTATTATCTGACATTATCAAGATTAATTTGTTCTGACACAGTTTAACTCTTGAGTTCTTGTCATATTTTATTACCATTTTCTAAACTATAGCGAATAAACTAAATAAATAATGTGTGAAATGTTGAAGGTGTCTGAATACATTTTGGTTTGATTATATTATATTATATTATATGAAAAAAATCTATCTGAAATGGTGTGAGACTAAATAAGGAAGACATTTTTGGGTGAACTGTTCCTTTAAACGATACTTTGTTCTGAGTTCTCTTTCACTTTTTTTAAGTGCCAAATACATGTTATCAGTGCCTGGTAGACAAATGAGAGGTTGTCAGTGCAGCGCAGTAAACGAGCAAGTCCATCTAAGCGCCTCCAGCGCTGGGCACTAGTAAGTCACTCCTCCATTCTCAAAGAGCCGAAGCGGTGCTCAATACCGCTTCGGTTTCACACTCATGTTTTCCTCACGCTGGGACTTTACTGTTACGCGACCACCAGTTATAATCCTGCTGCAGAGCTTGTGCATGCTTTATGATTAAGATATGAAATAATACGGCACTGTGAACTGTGGTAGACACATTAGAAAACTTCTCATGAGAAAAGAAAAACCTATAATTTCAAACAAAGGAAATTAAGAGTCTCTGTGCTTTCTCAATGGCACTAATAATCCATGCATACGATGCCGCTAATTCAAAGGGTTTCATTTAAAAAGCAATAAACCATGTGTGTGGTGGAGCGAGTGCTGGGAACAATTAAACAGTTCAAGCAGACAATGAAATGAAGATATTAATCCAAAAATTAATTGAGCTAATATATTCCACTGTGAGGTGAGAGGTGGCTTATGGCACAAAGATTGAGAGGGAGCAGGAGATCTCATTCATATCTGTAGGCATTTGCACATAGAAATGCATGTAGAAATTACTACACCTGCCCATAATACTGTATTGACAACTAGATTATTTAGTTGTAATTATTTTGCTTCTCTGTATATTTGTGAGACTGTAAACTGTAGCAAAACTGTTTTGCTTATTTTTCTTTAGCATACAGTTTGGATGTCATATTTCAGTCATTTACGTCCACGATGGTCAGATTATCGTTCTTACAATTTGATAAAACATTGGTTCCGAAAAAAGATAAGAGGCTAACATTTGAGTAAATCACTTGTATTATCAAAGAGTAACATTTTAATTACTTACCAAAGCCAATTTTTAATGACATTTGTCACTTGGTGAGTGCTCATTTTTGACCATTTTTGTACAATATCAATGCAGTGACAGCATCCTAAATGTAAACCTTTATGCATTCACTACTGTTCAAAAGTTTGGAGTTGGTAAGATTATTCTGAGGGAAAGAAATGAATACTTTTATTCAGCAAGGATGCATTACATTGAACAAAATTGTCAGTGAAGTCATTTATAATCTTATTAGAAATGTATAATAATAATAATTTCTATTTCAAATCAATGTTGTTCTTTCTAACATTCTATTCATCAAAGAATCCTGAAATCAATGTATTAAATCATATTAGAATGATAGCAGAATAATGCAGCAAACCACAAAAAAAGCTGTGACAAGCAAGACACAAAAAAAAGATGTGCATTAGAGGAATAAATTATATTTTAAAATATAATCAAATAGAAAACAGCTATTCTAAATTAGAATAATATTTCACAATATTACTATTTTTACTGTATTTTAGGTCAAATAAATGCAGCCTTAGTGAGCAGAAGAGACTTCTATCAAAAACTGACCGCAAACTTTTGAATAAGAAATGCTGGAATTTTTATATGGGTGCAGGAGTTCAGCACTCAGACACATTTCCACAGAGGACTCTCATTTATCAGTAAATTATGGGCGAAGCATTGTGCGAGAAAATCCGTTTTAATTGAAGCTTTATGAAATCCAGATGGGACTAATAAAAGTACAGTAATTTGCAGCCTTGGTAGGAGTGAATTTAATTATCATCAAAGCTCATCAAGTCTGAAATATTAGTGAAACACTGGTTGATGTTACATGTCCCACTTGCTTCTATTAGCTTGTGGGCGACACACGACTAGTTTCAGGAGTTTCTGAGCTCTACACACGAATTTGTGAACACCCCAAATTAACTTAACTTAAATGTCTACAGCATGTGCTTCACTCTTGGGTAATAAAAGCTACACCGGGCAGGCAGCTGACTAAGAGCTACTGAAGTCATGTAATCTAAGTCTGGTTGTGACAGATTAAAGGCTGGAAGCTCTAGTGTGTGTGTTTCTACAAGCATTGTGGAAGAAAGCAAGTGTACAAGAAGACTTACTACTGTAAACCAGCTTAAAACCCTCAGCCGTATCCTCTTGATCAGAATAAAACTCCAGCCACAGGTGATTCGACGTGCTGGTCAACGACTGACCTAACATAGAGGAACCTGAGAAACCTCCCAGAACTTCTGCCGTGTTGTCTGGACCATCATACAACTGGGGAAACAGACCAGAAAAGTCTATAGGGTTTCCCAGCAAACAAAACATGTCCTAAGAATGTTTTACTAATGTTAGGAAAACATTATTTCTGAATGTTCTCAGAAACATCCAGCTTTGAAAAAATTGCAAAAAACGTTTTATCTTGGTCAGGTGAATGTAAAAAAAACATTAAGGGAATGTTACATTTTTTATCATTTTGCAAACATTATGGGAATGTTACTTTCAAACGTTCTCTGATTTATTTGAAACAAGTAGCAAGCGGTCTAAAAAAAAACATTAGACTAACATCCAACTAAAATGTTTCACAAAAACATTCATTATGTATTATGTATACATAATGTTTTTGTGCTAAAATTGTGAAAACGACCAGAAAACTTTATGCGGTTCTATTAACATTACTAGAAGAACGTTTGTTCATAACATTGCCAGAACATTTTCTGTTAGGTGGATTGACGTTAACGTGTTGCTAAGCAAACAATACATTGCTTTAAGCATTTATATCCATTGCAAATAGACAAATATTGCCCAAAATAATAAATTTTTGATTAGATGACGTGTTTTGGTGCTTTTAGAATCAAATGAATGTGTGTTGCAAGCATGACTCTGACACCGGTGTACATACAGAACTTACCTTAAGAACGTCACCATGAGACAGATTAAAGGTGCTAGCTGAGATGTTGATTCCTTTTCCTGCCTGTACTTGAATGTTGTAGATGCACTCGTGGTTGTTCTCGTAATTGCGAGGGTAGTTTGGAGACAACAGGACACCGGCGTTCTTGGAAACAGTTGAGCCGCACTCAGCTATGGACAATGGGGAACCGTAGTGACATAGTGGAACAGCAATGCGTAAAAAGTGTAAATTTGGGGAAATAAAGAAAAAAGCACAAATCTAGGTATTCAGAAAGACAACATATCATCAAAACATGCAGTAGATTTAAAAAAACACATCTTGAACAACATATTTTGTCACTCATTAGTTGCATTAGAGTCAGTACTGTATCAATGCAATGCGTTTAACTTGACCATCAATTTTCAACACATGAAGAAAAATCATCCGCAGTTTCTGTCATCCTCTGTCATGACTTGTTATTTGATTACACTGTCAAAGGGTAAGAAATCATACTCAAAATTGGATAATAAATAAATAAATAAATAAATACCACATTTATTTCCATAACTAGATTAACATGAAACATACTTTAATTTTATAATACCATTACCATTTAAAATGTTTATCAATTGAAGTACTATTTTAATAATAAGTTTTATATAATAAGTACACTCTAAAAATGATTCATCAAAGTTGTAAATAAAATACAGATTGGAGTATGTTTTACAAGAAAATACTGTTTCAGTCTAAGAAATTGTCTTCAAAATTAATGCATATTTACTTCCAAACTAGATGCAAATCACTTGATTTGCATGTTATAACAATTAGGATAATACCATTATGCATGCTTTTAAAAGTATTATTTATAAAAGTAGTATATGCTATATAAGTAAGTACTTTGTAAAATCAGATTTTTTGACGATTATTAGAATACATTTCACAAGAAAATACAATTGCAGTCTTTCTAATTCATTTGCCGTTTCCTTGTAATTATTTGTGAAATGTACAAGCAATTTTGGAGTGAAAATTGTTTAAGTAAATGTTTTTTCAGTGTATAATACGTATAATAAGTAGTATTTATTATACTGTGCAGCAAGCTTTGAGTAGTACACTACTACTCCATTCAAAACACAGTACAACTCAATAGCCTGTCGTCGCTGAACTCGAATGCAACCATGAAGACTTGTCAAACTCTGGACGTCCAAGCAAATGAGAGCAGCTGACCACGTACCCACACACCTTGGCAGAGGTGCACTCCATATGCGCCGTCCACCGCCCAGGCAAGTGATTTCTCGAGCGCCCTGCAGGCGGTAACCAAGGTCACAGGAGAACGTCAGAGTGTCGCCGATGCCAAATCTGCCACCGCTGTGCCTGCCAAACTGGGGCACACCAGGGTCCTCACAAGGCTCCAAATCATATTCTAATAATAAAACGAACAGCAAAAAGTTTAGCCGGAAACCTAGTTAACCTCATTTGCTGGTGCTGGTGTTATGCAGGTTGAACTTTATTGTATGCTAAAACTTACTGTAATATGTCTTTGCAGGATGTGACAAACATAATTCATGTAAACTGCAAAAATCAGGAATTAGTTATGAGCTCTTTGGCTCTGTTCCGAACCCTAGTGAGCTACCGCATAGGCAGCATTTTAAAGGAATAGTTCACCTAGAAATGAAAATGTGCAGAACATGTACTCATCCTCAGGCCATCCAAGATGTAGCGGAGTTTGTTTTTTTATCAGAACAGATTTGGATAAATGTAACATTGCATCACTTGCTCACCAAAGGATCCTCTGCAGTGAATGGGTGCCGTCAGAATGAGAGTCCAAACAGCTGCTAAAAACATCACAATAATTCACAAGTAATCCACACCACTCCAGTCCATCAGTGTCTTGTGAATTGAAAAGCTGTGTGTTTTTAATAAACAAATCTATCATTAAGATGTTCTAACTTCTGGGTAAAATAAGAGTGCCCCATCCACAATACTGCTTTCTCCAGTAATAAAGTCGTCTTGTCTGACTCAAGAGAGAAATGTGCACAGATCAAGCACTGTTTACAAGCAAAAACAGTTCAAAAGAGCTCTAAAAAAAATTATACGTAGAATTTGATGTGAGAGACAATAGGAGATTTAATTTTTCACTGGAGGATGTGTTATTATTGATTATTATGGACTTATATTTTGGTAGTGACTGTTTTAAAGTTAAGGTGCCTTAATGATGGATTTGTTTCTTACAAACAAGCAGGTTTTCACTTCACAAGACGTTAATTGATGGACCGGAGTGGTGTGGATTACTTGTGGATTATTGTTATGTTTTTATCAGCTGTTTGGACTCTCATTCTGACGGCACCCATTCACTGCAGAGGATCCATTGGTGAGCATTGATAATGCTAAATTTCTCCAAATATGTTCCTGTGAAGAAACAAACTCATCTGCATCTTGGATAACCTGAGTACATTTTAAGCAAATGTCATTTATTTAGATTTTTTTTTAAGAATCATAGATTCTTATGCTTATGATTCTGATGCTCTAGAGGCAAAGTCTGCTTCAAAGAGTAATCATTAAAAAAGAAATCAAAATTGCTATTTAGTATCTAAAAATTACTGATAAAGATAAATAAAAATAAAATAAATGTAAACTTCCCATTTAAACTTCTTCATGTATGTATGACAGGTGGACGCTGATGTGATTTAGGTTAAAAACGCATAAATACTCAGTACATGTCAAACGATCTGTAATAACAGACAAAGCAATAGTGATCACATAACAAAAACAGTTCCTCACACTTGTGTGGTGCAACATTAGGCCTACTGTCTATGAAGTGAACAAAGGACAGAGTTCTTACTGACACGATCTAGAACTTCATTAAAAATAAAGTTCATCCACTCTTTCCCTAATGTTGGGATCAGAAGGAAGGCGATGCAAAGACTGTGTTTTTTCACAACACATTTTTATCGTTTGGTTTCTGTGTAGACCTGCGTTCGGCTCTCCCGTTATTTACACTGCATGCGTGAATCGGTGGGCGGGGCTAAACAGGCAGTGATGCAGAAGCAGGCGTTGATCTTCTCCTGCGGAGGCGGGGTTTAGCCACACTATTACGTCATAAAGTGACACATTCCACAACCTGTCGTTTGGCAGATTGGCTTCAATATAAGCTGTTCAATATAAGGATGTTTTTATAGTACAATGACCACTTATATGTCAATAGATCAAGGGGATTTTGATTTCTCAGTTCTTGACCCCTTTAAAGTCATATACCATTAGCTTAGCACCATGCTAAAGTACCATTCTATTGGAAGTGTCTTCAGGTCTTCTTCGCCTGAGGAGTGCTAATTACTGTAGATGAGGCAAATATTTAAACTACTGTCATGTATTTGGTAGAAGAATTATCACAACAGTTATTAAAACGTTTAGAAATTTGTTCCTGATAAATGACACGTAGTTCTTCTCGTTGCTTTATTTTAGCATGGTACTTCAGTCTTGATATTCAACCAATGTCTCGTGTAACATCACATCATGATTCACAGAGTAAACAGAGAGTGAACATTTACCCTGGGTTATCTGCAAGCACTTAAACAATCAATTAGAGCTATGATAGCAACAGTGTGAATCATTTACACACATGTAAATGATACGCAGAAACGGTTAGTGGAGGACCGCAGCTGCGGTTTCAATTAGATCCTGGCGCAATGAGTTCAGATGACTTTGATGGTCGATGGCAACGACATGAATTGCTTGTTTGTCACTTTTTGCTTCCTCTGAGCTCTAATATCAAATATTCAAATCTATTTAGAAACACAATGTGCTCAGCATATGAACGCTTCCACCTTGTCACTCCGAAGAAAAACATTAGACTAACATCCAACTAAAATGTTTCACAAAAACATTCTATGAGCGATGTATAAATAATGTTTTTGTGCTAAAATTGTGAAAACGACCAGAAAACTTTATGCGGTTCTATTAACATTACTAGAAGAACGTTTGTTCATAACATTGCCAGAACATTTTCTGTTAGGTGGATTGACGTTAACGTATTGCTAAGCAAACAATACATTGCTTTAAACATTTATATCCATTGCAAATAGACAGATATTGCCCAAAATAATAAATTTTTGATTAGATGACGTGTTTTGGTGCTTTAAGAATCAGATGAATGTGTGTTGCAAGCATGACTCTGACACCGGTGTACATACAGAACTTACCTTAAGAACGTCACCATGAGACAGATTAAAGGTGCTAGCTGAGATGTTGATTCCTTTTCCTGCCTGTACTTGAATGTTGTAGATGCACTCGTGGTTGTTCTCGTAATTGCGAGGGTAGTTTGGAGACAACAGGACACCGGCGTTCTTGGAAACAGTTGAGCCGCACTCAGCTATGGACAATGGGGAACCGTAGTGACATAGTGGAACAGCAATGCGTAAAAAGTGTAAATTTGGGGAAATAAAGAAAAAAGCACAAATCTAGGTATTCAGAAAGACAACATATCATCAAAACATGCAGTAGATTTAAAAAAACACATCTTGAACAACATATTTTGTCACTCATTAGTTGCATTAGAGTCAGTACTGTATCAATGCAATGCGTTTAACTTGACCATCAATTTTCAACACATGAAGAAAAATCATCCGCAGTTTCTGTCATCCTCTGTCATGACTTGTTATTTGATTACACTGTCAAAGGGTAAGAAATCATACTCAAAATTGGATAATAAATAAATAAATAAATAAATACCACATTTATTTCCATAACTAGATTAACATGAAACATACTTTAATTTTATAATACCATTACCATTTAAAATGTTTATCAATTGAAGTACTATTTTAATAATAAGTTTTATATAATAAGTACACTCTAAAAATGATTCATCAAAGTTGTAAATAAAATACAGATTGGAGTATGTTTTACAAGAAAATACTGTTTCAGTCTAAGAAATTGTCTTCAAAATTAATGCATATTTACTTCCAAACTAGATGCAAATCACTTGATTTGCATGTTATAACAATTAGGATAATACCATTATGCATGCTTTTAAAAGTATTATTTATAAAAGTAGTATATGCTATATAAGTAAGTACTTTGTAAAATCAGATTTTTTGACGATTATTAGAATACATTTCACAAGAAAATACAATTGCAGTCTTTCTAATTCATTTGCCGTTTCCTTGTAATTATTTGTGAAATGTACAAGCAATTTTGGAGTGAAAATTGTTTAAGTAAATGTTTTTTCAGTGTATAATACGTATAATAAGTAGTATTTATTATACTGTGCAGCAAGCTTTGAGTAGTACACTACTACTCCATTCAAAACACAGTACAACTCAATAGCCTGTCGTCGCTGAACTCGAATGCAACCATGAAGACTTGTCAAACTCTGGACGTCCAAGCAAATGAGAGCAGCTGACCACGTACCCACACACCTTGGCAGAGGTGCACTCCATATGCGCCGTCCACCGCCCAGGCAAGTGATTTCTCGAGCGCCCTGCAGGCGGTAACCAAGGTCACAGGAGAACGTCAGAGTGTCGCCGATGCCAAATCTGCCACCGCTGTGCCTGCCAAACTGGGGCACACCAGGGTCCTCACAAGGCTCCAAATCATATTCTAATAATAAAACGAACAGCAAAAAGTTTAGCCGGAAACCTAGTTAACCTCATTTGCTGGTGCTGGTGTTATGCAGGTTGAACTTTATTGTATGCTAAAACTTACTGTAATATGTCTTTGCAGGATGTGACAAACATAATTCATGTAAACTGCAAAAATCAGGAATTAGTTATGAGCTCTTTGGCTCTGTTCCGAACCCTAGTGAGCTACCGCATAGGCAGCATTTTAAAGGAATAGTTCACCTAGAAATGAAAATGTGCAGAACATGTACTCATCCTCAGGCCATCCAAGATGTAGCGGAGTTTGTTTTTTTATCAGAACAGATTTGGATAAATGTAACATTGCATCACTTGCTCACCAAAGGATCCTCTGCAGTGAATGGGTGCCGTCAGAATGAGAGTCCAAACAGCTGCTAAAAACATCACAATAATTCACAAGTAATCCACACCACTCCAGTCCATCAGTGTCTTGTGAATTGAAAAGCTGTGTGTTTTTAATAAACAAATCTATCATTAAGATGTTCTAACTTCTGGGTAAAATAAGAGTGCCCCATCCACAATACTGCTTTCTCCAGTAATAAAGTCGTCTTGTCTGACTCAAGAGAGAAATGTGCACAGATCAAGCACTGTTTACAAGCAAAAACAGTTCAAAAGAGCTCTAAAAAAAATTATACGTAGAATTTGATGTGAGAGACAATAGGAGATTTAATTTTTCACTGGAGGATGTGTTATTATTGATTATTATGGACTTATATTTTGGTAGTGACTGTTTTAAAGTTAAGGTGCCTTAATGATGGATTTGTTTCTTACAAACAAGCAGGTTTTCACTTCACAAGACGTTAATTGATGGACTGGAGTGGTGTGGATTACTTGTGGATTATTGTTATGTTTTTATCAGCTGTTTGGACTCTCATTCTGACGGCACCCATTCACTGCAGAGGATCCATTGGTGAGCATTGATAATGCTAAATTTCTCCAAATATGTTCCTGTGAAGAAACAAACTCATCTGCATCTTGGATAACCTGAGTACATTTTAAGCAAATGTCATTTATTTAGATTTTTTTTTAAGAATCATAGATTCTTATGCTTATGATTCTGATGCTCTAGAGGCAAAGTCTGCTTCAAAGAGTAATCATTAAAAAAGAAATCAAAATTGCTATTTAGTATCTAAAAATTACTGATAAAGATAAAAAAAAATAAAATAAATGTAAACTTCCCATTTAAACTTCTTCATGTATGTATGACAGGTGGACGCTGATGTGATTTAGGTTAAAAACGCATAAATACTCAGTACATGTCAAACGATCTGTAATAACAGACAAAGCAATAGTGATCACATAACAAAAACAGTTCCTCACACTTGTGTGGTGCAACATTAGGCCTACTGTCTATGAAGTGAACAAAGGACAGAGTTCTTACTGACACGATCTAGAACTTCATTAAAAATAAAGTTCATCCACTCTTTCCCTAATGTTGGGATCAGAAGGAAGGCGATGCAAAGACTGTGTTTTTTCACAACACATTTTTATCGTTTGGTTTCTGTGTAGACCTGCGTTCGGCTCTCCCGTTATTTACACTGCATGCGTGAATCGGTGGGCGGGGCTAAACAGGCAGTGATGTAGAATCGGTGGGCGGGGCTAAACAGGCAGTGATGCAGAAGCAGGCGTTGATCTTCTCCTGCGGAGGCGGGGTTTAGCCACACTATTACGTCATAAAGTGACACATTCCACAACCTGTCGTTTGGCAGATTGGCTTCAATATAAGCTGTTCAATATAAGGATGTTTTTATAGTACAATGACCACTTATATGTCAATAGATCAAGGGGATTTTGATTTCTCAGTTCTTGACCCCTTTAAAGTCATATACCATTAGCTTAGCACCATGCTAAAGTACCATTCTATTGGAAGTGTCTTCAGGTCTTCTTCGCCTGAGGAGTGCTAATTACTGTAGATGAGGCAAATATTTAAACTACTGTCATGTATTTGGTAGAAGAATTATCACAACAGTTATTAAAACGTTTAGAAATTTGTTCCTGATAAATGACACGTAGTTCTTCTCGTTGCTTTATTTTAGCATGGTACTTCAGTCTTGATATTCAACCAATGTCTCGTGTAACATCACATCATGATTCACAGAGTAAACAGAGAGTGAACATTTACCCTGGGTTATCTGCAAGCACTTAAACAATCAATTAGAGCTATGATAGCAACAGTGTGAATCATTTACACACATGTAAATGATACGCAGAAACGGTTAGTGGAGGACCGCAGCTGCGGTTTCAATTAGATCCTGGCGCAATGAGTTCAGATGACTTTGATGGTCGATGGCAACGACATGAATTGCTTGTTTGTCACTTTTTGCTTCCTCTGAGCTCTAATATCAAATATTCAAATCTATTTAGAAACACAATGTGCTCAGCATATGAACGCTTCCACCTTGTCACTCCGAAGCTGTATAGAAAATTGAATAGATTTCATATTATGTAAAGATATGAGTTCTCGTCCTTGAACATTCAGCATTAAGGCTGGAATGTTAATGGTGGAAAGCTTTTGTCTGCAGTTTCACGCCTGATACTTTTCGCATTATGCATGTCTGCTTCTGTCAATCCCATCAATATTCAGTACCAGAAAAAGGTCAAGCGCTGTTTTCATCAGGTAATATATATTAGGCTAATACAGGAACTTGGCTTCTGGATAATTGTATGGGTATTCATAACTCCAGTCCTTAATTAATGTATATGATGGCTCAAGTAAACATTAGCCAAACCCTATGGGCTCTTCTCACAACTTGGCTTTATATCAGAACAGCATGTCCTCTAACAATGCATTATGCTGACCTAAAATAAATAGTTCAGCCCAAAATCTGTCCAACTGGAAGGCTGTTCCCCCCCATAACCAGTGTTATTTTAGTATCGTAGATACTGTATACAATTATAGTTTTTTGTAATATCTTAAATTAGATTTTATTTGCACATTTTCTGTTTGCACTTTAATTTACACCAACACACACACACACACACACACAATGTTAAAGTTATAGTAATTTTGTTGTTTTTTATTTTATTTTTTTAGTTTCATTTTTTTTAAGTACTTCAAGCTAAACTATGCGACAATTAGACAAGTTGGTGAATTAAAATGATAAAAATAATCAATTCAGCTGTCGCTTATTTGAAGTAACAAAAGTTTTGTTTTGTTTTTGTTTTTTTTGTTAATGATAATACCCTGTCTCTAAAAAGGATAATCTTTAAAGAATATCTGGCTTTGTTGATAATTTTGGGTCCGTTTTGGAGCTCAGTTGAATGGAGAAGATCTGTGTAAAAATTCTTTGCATTATTCGTAGAAAAAAAGTGTTACCAAAAAATTATTGTAACTAGTCACAAACAGATATTCGGTGCACCTGCTTTAAAATACTGTTGGCTTCCTGGCGGTTTCTCGACTATGAGCTCATATTTTGCTGTCAAATATGTTTCTTTTCCACTTTTACGTCCAAAGGTAGATCAACTAATTCCATTAGACAGCAGCCCGGTTTAACCCAGTGCCCAGTGGGTATCCGGTGGTGACCGTGCAGCGCAGCAGGATGATCCAGTGGGGATCTGTGACTAATGAAAAACGCAGCCCAAAGCCAGCTCTAATATCAGCCAGCAGTTCACCGCTAAAGTCTGACGACAAGACTGCCGGCAACACTGATAAGACTCAGACTTTCAATAAGCCACTGAGACGAAGCGCAAGCTGTTGCCAATTGATTACCTTTATCAATGTACAAAACACCATCTATATCTAATTGCTGCTATGACTTTTCATAGAAACAGGCTTGTAGGAGCTGAGGACGATAGCGGCTGCTCTTGTCCTACAATAACCTTTGATAATATCCTCAGATTTAGATTCATTATTAGATCTTATACTAAAGGATGGTATGGCTATCACATTCATTAAGGAAAAAATAATTATGTAAATTATTGCACTGTTAGCAAAATTTTGTGCTGTAAAAGTTTGCAATTTTTAGGAAAGAATGGGTTTATCATTTCACAATGTAGGTAAAAATGGTTTTACAAACAATCTGCATGGAAAATTGTGTAGCTCAGTGTTTATGTAACTTGTCACACTGAACTGATTACGTAAATTTATGTAAGAATGGTTTCATGAATGATTTACAGAAAAAATTGCTTTGCTCAGAATGCAACAATTTACATAAAATTGTGTGCATTGCAGATGCTTTCTATCAAAACGGTGTGTCCTCTAACAATGCATCACTCTGACCTTAAAGGAATAGTTTAGTCAAAAAAAAAGTGCTCTATGTTGATGATTTCTGACCTTTTTTTAGAGCTTAGTTAAATGGGAAAGAGCTGTGTAAAAAATCTTCAAATTTTTCCTCCAAAAAAAGTAACAGCATATAAGATTGTAGTGACATTGGGATGCACAAAAAATTGCATAATTTTCATTTCAGATTAACTATTTTTTTTTAGAAAACTGCTTACTGCTATTCTTTGCAAAAAAAAAAAAAAGAGGTTCGGTGCAACTGAAACTGATAATAATAATAATAATAAATAAACAAACCAATAAACTAATAAACATAAGTTTATAATAAGTAAATAATTAAGAATAATAACAACAGTAAAATACCTAAATTAACCATAAAATCAAATGGGACACAAGGATTCTTTCACCTGAGAAAGAGATGTTGAAACCCTGGAAGGAGATGGAAAAGTCTGAGATGAAGCGAAGCTGAGCCTTGAAGTTGCCATAAAGCCCGGCGTTGACTGGCGGGGGTCGTTGCGAACCGGTGAGCCGGGCGAGGGGCCGCGCAAAACTGCCGTTCTCTGTCAGGAGCAGATAGTCATGGTGATCCTCCAGGTGAAACGCATGAAACGTGAACTGCACACCTGAGAAGAAGAGGCATCAGATGAGGACACCAATTTACTTTACTTCTTCAACAGGCCACAGCATGTCAAAAGAAATGACTTGGATTATTTAGGGAAACAAGGTGTAAGTGGAGAAATTATGGAGGTGTCTTTAAATAAATTGAGGATAAATAAATCTATCTCAGCTAATACTGTAAACTGCATAGGGAGCCCTATTATTAATATAATATTAAAGTTTACAATTAACGACAGAGTACAAAACATTTAATTGCTATGTATTTTTAGATATAATTAACACTCAAATAAAAAAATTGTATGGAAACATGTAAATTGCGCATAAGGCATTTTTATATCAACTAAATCTAATTATAAAATGATGTTTCAACTCCAATTCATTCTTAAAATAATTAAATAATAATTTTCACAGTGGACAGATTAATTTAAACATGCATTAAATAATTAAGACATCACAAACAGGGCATGTAAAATATAAATTATATATATAGAGAGAGCGAGAGAGAGCAAGAGAGAGGCTAATACAGTGCATATATTTGGTGAAATGCTCTTCTGAATTGCTGGACTGAGGTAAATGTAATGCTATGTGACATTGTTCACAAGCTGTTTTATTGACGTCTTTCCACAGTTGAAACACTAATTGAGCGATTACATAAGACACGGGACGTTTATTCATGTTTATTTCATGTTATAACTAGTAATAAAGAGGAAGGGATGATCGCTGCAGTTTAAACTGAGGTGCCTATACAGCATTCAAGTGTCACAATTGTATTTATTGTTTGAATTTCTGAATAAAACAGACAGAAATTAAAAGATGTGACTTAGTTTTTCATCGAAAGGTACAAAATGCATTGCTTATTGTGATTATAGGGCAGGATATAATGTCTATAAAGTTTTATTCATGCATTAACTAAAACAGCAGATTAAAAGATCAGTCTTGAGATTTAAGAATGGATATTGATTCGTTAAAATAGAAGAATAGTTAGAAGTTTTAAACCAAGTTCTACACATTCAGTGGATAAAACAATGTATTTGTTCGGTACACTCACACACACATACACAGTGTGTGGTCAATAAATAAAAATACACACTTGTATGTGTTCATTGACACCTAAAAAAATGACCTTTGACAGATCTGATGTCAAAAGCTAGCTCTCATCTTCTTCTGACAGCACATGAAGAATTCTCCTGGGTATGTACCTTTGCCATGGCTGACCTCCAGAGTCCACGTGCAGTTTAATGAGTTGGGATAGAGCTCTGGAAAGCCGGGAGAGAGGATGATGCCCTCTGGGCCTTGGACATCGCCTCCGCACAGAGCTGCAGGAAGACATGCGTGGAATCTTTAAAAAGATCTGAAACTTTACAGGAAGCACATATGCAACTGTTCTTGTATCACTTTTAGTTTCTCCGTTTTCAGAGACTTGAGCAGGAATTCTGTTGAGATAAGCAGTGTTCAGCTGAGGAAATTCAAAGAGTAGTGTAACCTTCACCGGAAGTAAAAAATACCACCAAAAGGTTAACGAGAGTAATGAGAATTTCTTCTAATTTGAGCTACTTTCCACCTGCCGTTGTTTCCAGAAAAGGTCACAACCACTTTACTTTGTCTATGAAAGTTTTCCTAAGAAAATGAGTGAGTGCTATTGTCCATGCAAAACTCAGGTTATGGATGATTGCATGAGAATTGCTATGCTGTTTCAAAGTAGTTGCTCACTGGCTAGAGTTAGAAGTGTCCAACTACAGGTATCGATGACATTCTTCTTCGAAGAAAGTCTATGCATTTATTTTCACACAAACAGTGCAGGAAGAGTTACTTTTAAAATTTAGGCTTAGAAGTTTAACATAATAAATAATGATACTTGGCTTAGCAAACTGTCCTAATAATACTGAATTTCAGAAACGTTGACATCTAATTGCACACAAGAAGTAAATGCACTTATGTCATTGAGATGTCTATGAAAGAACAATCTTGTAGCTCAAACAGTGGAACTTGGCACTAGCAGCATCAAAGTCATGGGTTTGATTCCCAGGGTATGCATGAACCCATTAAAAAAAATTGCTTTGGACAAAAGCATCTGCCAGATGTATAAATTATGTATGAATAATGAATGTGTGAAATTCATTTGTGAAACCAAGACTAAGATCATTGTTAAAAATAATCATGTGTAAAATTATTGCAATTTTAGGTAAGAATGGTTTCATCATGTCACCATTTAAGTAAAAACGGTTTTCTGAACAATTTGGACAGACATTTGAGTCTGGAATGGTCCAATACTCATTTAAATTCTCACACTGAACTGAATACAATTCATGTAAGAATGGTTTTACAAATAATTTTCAAATTAATTAATTCTGCTTGCTTTGTTTGGCTCTTTTTGTGAACTGGTGCATCGAAATGAATGTGGCAATTTAAAAAGACAAAACTTTGAGAACTCAGTCACAGACATTTTAAGAATAGAATATCCAGTAAGACTCCAGTTGAAACCTCTATATATAATGCATAAGGAAGGGAATCATTTTGGTTTCATTTCCTTCTTTTGACACTATAGACAATAATAGGTCCCTGAATGTGCATCTTTAAATATACACTGCTATACGAACAACCAGTCAGCAATTATACTGATTTAAGTTTCAACAGAACTGGTTTTATTCAGAACTGATGTTTCCTGAGAAATTATGTTTTAGATGAGATGTATGTTTGCAGTCTGCATTGAATGTGATGAGAATTATTACATGCATGTACAGCCAGACTTCAATTACAATGCTCCTGAATATTCTTGAAATTGTTGTGAATTTCGAAATCAAAGAACTGTTTAAATGAGCAGCGTTAATTAGTCTAATTGAGATGTGTAATTGAGATGACAGCTTACCGTCACATGTCGGCAGAGGGTGGCTCCACCAGTGGTTCTTCTCACAGACCAACTGCTCCTCGTGGCTCAGTCTGTATCCGGGCTCGCAGCCAAACCACACCACCGAGCCGATGGCCAAGTCCTGCCCGTAACGTATCCCATTTACGGGCACGCCGGGGTCCAAACATGAGTGAGTGTCCAGAATGACGCCTGAAGCACAGCAAACGCAAAATGAGAGATTATTTAATGTAATTTAAAGGTACAGTTAAAGGGATTCATTTCAATTTCATTTACAGTTTCATTTTAACGTGCATTAAAAGCAAATGTATAGTTTCGGGGGGAACTATGTAAACTGACCTAAAATTGTATTATTTAATTTAATTTCATTTCATCATTTTATTTTATTTTACTTTATTTTATTTCAAATTATGTTTATTGTTACTTTGTGTGTTACTGTTACTTGCTGTACCACTATCAAATTAAGCATTGTATTTGCATTGTATTCAGCTGTGCTGAAATGGTTTTGACAATATGAATGCAGTTTTTTGTCAAGCCAATAAAGCATTAAATCAAAAAAAGGATGAGAAAAAGACAGAATAGGCAAGAAATATAGAGTGAGAAAGAATACTACAAAGAGAAATCCTCAAGCTGTTTGCTTGTGTGGAGAGACAGATACGATTCAGGTAGAAATATAATTTCTCAGGCAAAAGGCACCCAGTCCATAAAGACGGCTGACTCACTTTCATAAAAGAGCTTAAAGCCACTGTTAGAGCGACTGTTATCGGTGGTGAAGAGAAGATACCGAACATTTTAAGTGCTTGAATGAAAACACTTTAGGTCAGAAATGGCATCCTTTAGATGTATCTGTGAAATAATGAAGTGAATTTCACTATTATTTTTATTTTTCACTATTACTTTCACCCAGAGACATAGGGCTGCAACCCAACTCACATACCTTTACTACATACTAAAAGTATGCACTTTATTTAAGACGCACATACATACATATATATACTGTATATATACCTTCTCAGTCAAAATGCATGGGATTGTTGACTGAAATTCTGCCATAGTTTTTGACCAAAAGAAGGTATTCTAGAAAGGCTGCGGAATGAAGCTATCTACTCTTTTTTTGGGGGGAGCAAACGTATTATGCCTTAAAATGCCACAAAGATTTGGAGCAGAGCCACAGTATGCAAACTGGGATGCAGTCATAGTCATTGCTTCTTGAGATGTCCAAACTAAGACCTGAACTTCAGAATTCAAGGAATGAAGGCAGATTTCCTCAGCGACTTCACCTTTAATGATAATGAATGTCAGCGTCACTCCCCGTGAGACGATAAAAGAGTCTAGCGCCTCGGGCTCAACATCTGCCTAAGTCTCTTTCTTCCCCCCAGCAGCGTAAAGTACCCAAAATATTTCCTCCATATTTAGTTAATTCAGAATGACATGAAGTTATTAAAATTGAATAGGCCAAATGGGCCTGACATGCTAAGAGTGCCCTTTTGGAAATAAGAACATTTTACCGGAAGGTTAAAGTCAACAAAAAGGACCCCGTTTACTTTCTAAGTTTCTAAGTTCCTGGTCTTACTGTTGTTCCAAATAAAAAAAATGTTCGTCTACAAATGTTCGTGCTCCTACAATGAAATTGCTCAATTCTGGCAGCGAGTTCTTCTGAACCAATCAATTCCTGACAGATAAAATCAAGTCCAGTTCTACATTTTATTTCATTGAACTTCTTGTGTCATCCAGAAATGTCACATTACATAAGCAAAACAGGCTGCGGATGACAGTTTCATGCTGACTTGAAGTTTTAAGTACTAGATGTCTTGACAGAGAGTCCAGAGCATTGGTCGGAAGTCTGGTAGCAAACCAAACATTACCAGTGGTTTATAATTAAAACTTAAGGTGACAATCATGTCCAGCTGAATAGACTAAGTATTTTTGTCAGCCCTCATTGCACCACAGCTACTCATAAAAAAGACAAAACTTTGAGAACTCAGTCACAGACATTTTAAGAATAGAATATCCAGTAAGACTCCAGTTGAAACCTCTATATATAATGCATAAGGAAGGGAATCATTTTGGTTTCATTTCCTTCTTTTGACACTATAGACAATAATAGGTCCCTGAATGTGCATCTTTAAATATACACTGCTATACGAACAACCAGTCAGCAATTATACTGATTTAAGTTTCAACAGAACTGGTTTTATTCAGAACTGATGTTTCCTGAGAAATTATGTTTTAGATGAGATGTATGTTTGCAGTCTGCATTGAATGTGATGAGAATTATTACATGCATGTACAGCCAGACTTCAATTACAATGCTCCTGAATATTCTTGAAATTGTTGTGAATTTCGAAATCAAAGAACTGTTTAAATGAGCAGCGTTAATTAGTCTAATTGAGATGTGTAATTGAGATGACAGCTTACCGTCACATGTCGGCAGAGGGTGGCTCCACCAGTGGTTCTTCTCACAGACCAACTGCTCCTCGTGGCTCAGTCTGTATCCGGGCTCGCAGCCAAACCACACCACCGAGCCGATGGCCAAGTCCTGCCCGTAACGTATCCCATTTACGGGCACGCCGGGGTCCAAACATGAGTGAGTGTCCAGAATGACGCCTGAAGCACAGCAAACGCAAAATGAGAGATTATTTCATGTAATTTAAAGGTACAGTTAAAGGGATTCATTTCAATTTCATTTACAGTTTCATTTTAACGTGCATTAAAAGCAAATGTATAGTTTCGGGGGGAACTATGTAAACTGACCTAAAATTGTATTATTTAATTTAATTTCATTTCATCATTTTATTTTATTTTACTTTATTTTATTTCAAATTATGTTTATTGTTACTTTGTGTGTTACTGTTACTTGCTGTACCACTATCAAATTAAGCATTGTATTTGCATTGTATTCAGCTGTGCTGAAATGGTTTTGACAATATGAATGCAGTTTTTTGTCAAGCCAATAAAGCATTAAATCAAAAAAAGGATGAGAAAAAGACAGAATAGGCAAGAAATATAGAGTGAGAAAGAATACTACAAAGAGAAATCCTCAAGCTGTTTGCTTGTGTGGAGAGACAGATATGATTCAGGTAGAAATATAATTTCTCAGGCAAAAGGCACCCAGTCCATAAAGACGGCTGACTCACTTTCATAAAAGAGCTTAAAGCCACTGTTAGAGCGACTGTTATCGGTGGTGAAGAGAAGATACAGGAAGTTGCCGCTGCTGAACAGGAACTGAGGGACTTGGGTGCCATTTAGAGAGGCAATTAGGGGCGAGAGGAGATTAGGCCCATCGTGAAGCTCTAGAAAGTCATAATTGAGTTCTGTCTGGAACCTGCCGGAAAAAGAAAAAAAGAAAACAGATCAAAGAAAAGAGATAATAAAAATTACAGCGTGAAATGTGTTTCTATCCACACACACACACAAACACATCTCATTACACATGGCTGCCCAACTGTTCCTCATTGACCGCCTCTTTTAATGAGAAGTCACAGGCGCAGCCAGTGTTCACGCTGCTGTTTATTGATGGGATCAAACGGCTTTGTGATGTGCGAATATACACAGATCTGCCACAGTGAGCTTGCTTTAATGGAATAGTTAAGCTAATAATGAAAATACAGTCATTTACTAACCCTCATGTTGTTCCAAACCTGTATGGCTTTCTACCTTCGGCAAAATAACACCTTTTACATAATGCCCTAGTTTCTCTCTTCCAAACAGTGAAAGTATATAATAATAATCAGGGTCTGAAAGCTCCAAAAATAGCAGAAAAAGCACCATAAAACTATCATTTTAATTACTATAAATGATGTAAGTTGCTCATAAGACTTGCACCCTATTCCAAGTCATTTATCCACTCTGTACATTAAATATGTAAAAAGTATAAAATAAAAAAATCACTTAAAAAGAAAGGGAAAAAAAATCAACATAAAATCTGGCATATTGCATCTTGATGCCCCATATAGGAAATTAACATCTGAGAGCTAAAGTTAGTGGAACAATTAATTAAATAATGAATTTGTCTGTTTCTCACACAAATGACTTAAAATAATGAACCAGCCACATGCACTACTTTTATGATATCGTTAATGTTTTTGTTTTTTTTGCCCACATTCTCATTCATTTCATAGAAAAGAGCAGCCAGCTCATTTATCATATTATCTCCTTTTGTATTTTACAGAAGTCCTACAGGATTGGCGTGCACAAGGGTACGTAAACGATGACAGAATTTAAATGTTTTCAGTGAAAAGCCAAAGCAGAGGTGTCAACCCCACTGCCTGAGAAACACAATCTCTGCTCGCCCAATCGAGTCCTCTGCTTTTGTGATGCACCTCGAAGCGTCCGCTCCCAGGAGTCTGTTAGATCATATCTGATGATATTTCAATGGCCTACTCAAGGGAAGCATTGCAGTGCTAATGAAATAAAGTCAACCATTTGTAACTAGATATAGATTAACTCAATTTCCCTTTCACAGAAGGCCTTGATGGGCACCACGCACAGCGTTAGATTTATATGGCAAACAGCGTGCATATGGATCAAGCTTACCGACATAACACTATGGTATAATGTATATAGACACTAATGGTGACTGTCTCCCTTGCGCTCTAGGTCTATGTGCTATGACAAACATTACTCAGAAACAATAGCATCCTTCAGACGTTTCTACATGTTTAGCTGAAGCTTACGATTCAATTACATTTGACATTATACTTTATTAACTCGGCAGACTGTTACATTGAGACTTTATGAAAACCCACGTGACCTTCACACCCAAAGGACCCCAGATGAAGATGGCTATAAATATGTTGCTACTTCTGCTTTTTCTAACCGTGGTATGTGCCGAAATTATTTGTCGCCTTGGAGAGCTGATGCCTCCAGACATGAATACAAATAATGCATCTGCGTGTTGCTATTCTCAGAGCTATCCAACAGACCTGTCAAAGCTTATCTTGATGGAGCGTCCCACCTCGGCCTCGATGACCCACTCACAGCTCAGGGAATCTTTGTAGTAGCCAGGCCACCCCGGGGACAGAATGACTCCCACCGGAGCGGTGAAATGGCCTCCGCAGGGCGCTGCGGGAAACATTTTATGTACATGCCAGCAGAATGTTTATTAGAACACTTCGATTCAGCAAAGAAACCTCTTCTTATCAACTGTTTTTGCAGTATCGTGTCTCTGAATGTCTTTAGAGATGTAAAAAGTTATTGATTTAAAGGTGATGTAAGCCACACAAAACGCTCCTGCTACCTGACAGATTTCACTAAAATAAGTGTCTTGAGAAATCAAACTGGTGTTTGTAAACAGCAGGAAAAAAGAGCCAGGGAAGCGAACCACACTTTTTTTTATCCATTCAGAAACACTTTATGCATGTCAATCAATTTGAATAATCGGTTTTGCAAAGGTTTTATTACTTAAAAAAATCTGTTAGCAAAGACAAAATCAATTGCTAGCTAACTGTTAGCATTCCCACTTTTCTCTAAGACAGTAGCACTTGGTAACTAGCCAAAAACTTCACATTTAAGAGGAAGATCTGACTCTTCCCTGTTGAAAAAAACAGCATATGCTGGTTAGGTATATTTTGATGCTGGGATGCTGGTTTAAGCTGGTCCTTTGCTGGTATATGCTGGTCATTTGCTGGTTTAAACTGGTCCTTTGCTGGTTTATGCTTGTACTTTGCTGGTTTATGCTGGTCCTTTTGCTGGTTTATGCTGGTCATGTGCTGGCAAAGGACCAGCATAAGCCAGCAAAGGACCAGTTTAAACCAGCAAAGGACCAACTTAAACCAGCATCCCAGCGTCAAAACATACCTAACCAGCATATGCTGTTTTTTTCAGCAGGGTTGTGATTGTCAGTGATTTTACAATGGTAAACGGCATGCCTGCACAACAAAAAAAAGAATTAAAAAAACAGCTTTCGACATGTCAATCGTTTCTCAGATTCAGTTTTGCAAAAGGAAGTTTTGATACTTGAAGAAAGCTGTCTGTTATATCTGTTAGCATAAAGAAAACCAATTGCTAATTACCATTCATCTCTGTGCTAGTTGTATAACTCTGGCCAACTTTACACTGTCGAGGGTCTTTAGAAAATTTTCTTTGTGGAGCCGGATTTTACAGCGAGACTATATGTTATTTATGTAAACAAAAAGGCGGAAGTTAGCAAAATGGCTGCTTATTGCATCATTAATCAATAAGGTGCAGATGCCAATGTTTGACTATGTCAAAAAATGTATAACTACTGGTCATACTTTCGCAAGGCCATTGTATTTCCCACTAACTCATCCCTTAGGCATGAAGCAGTGGCTGTCTTACATTGATTTTGCTATGGTAAAGAGCATCCCTGTTGAAAACACTAGCCTTAATTGGCTTTCTGCATGTCAATTGCTTTACAGATCCGGTTTGGCAAAGAAGTTTTAAAACATGATGAAAGCTGTCTGTTAGCTGTTAGCATAGAGAAAGCTAACTGCAAACTTTTAGCATTCCCATTCATCTCTACAACAGCTGCATATGGTAACTAGCCATAAACTTGACACTTTTTTGAGGGTCTCTGGAGAATTTTACTCTTGATTTGTTAGTAGAGCGGTTATGAAAAAAAACTGTATGATTTAAGTAAATAAAAGGGTGGAAATAAAAAAAATGGCTGCTTATAGCATCTTTAATCAAAAAGGTACAGATGCCAATGTTTTGGTGCATTCAAGTCCTCCTGGGAAGATCGTATTAAGTACGAGTTAAGAAGTCGCAATTAGAACAGCAGGTGTTTCCAGATCACTTTGGATAGAGGAAGATGGCGATGTACCTTTTCTAGAAAAAATAAATAAAAATAAAAAGCACATTAAAAAAAAAAAAAGATCCCTAAAAGATGATGAATACAAAATGATGAATAAAGAATATGCATCAGTGTGTTTTTGCTTTGTTTTTATTCAATATATAAAGGTGCTGTAAATTCAAGTGTTATATATACATAATTGTACAATATTGTGGAATATTGCACATGCATCTTAGCTAGTTTTATTGTAAATGAACTAGCAAAAATAATAATTGCAATAATTTCAACAAATTTACCATTTCAATACAGACACTGAATCTATTGCACCCCTCATATTTTATCACTGATATGCCCCCAACTTGGAAACTCATGGCTTAAAAATATTCTGCGTTTCCCACTCGATATTGCAACATTGTGGAGGCGTTCATGTGCATTCAACTCCTAAATATGATCTTCAGACATTACTTGAACACACCATTTGACTGTGTGGTCATGCAAACTACTAACTCATCCATAAGACTTTAAGCAGTGGCCATGTCTTACAGTAATTTTACCATGATAAAGGGCATCTCGGCTGTCAAAAAAAGGTAAAACCAGCCCAAGTTAGCTGGCTGATCTTAGCTGGTCAAACTTTGTAATAGCTAGTTTAGCAGGCTGGTTTTAAAAGGTTTTCAACCAATTTTTTTATCTGGCCAAATAAGTTATTCCAATCATAAACCAGCTAAGACCACCCAATCAGCTGTTTTAGGCACTCCACTTAACTTAGTTAAGACTATCCTTCACCCGAGGTGAAATCAGTGTAACATACAAACTCTTGTTTGATGCAGGTGCAGGTAAGTAATATTTTCTCATTCAGTGTTTACTGAATGTTTTTCACAATTTTCCTGTCTTTTGTACTGTTGATAGAACAACTCAGATAATAAGTGGAACTAAACCACTTTTCTACGAGTTCAAGGGATGATAATTTGAATTTTATTTAAATGTAGATATTTCCAAAAAAAACATCCAAAGGCTACTCAAAGGCCATTTGATAACTTTAATTCCACAGAAAAGATTAGAGGACACAAACACTTTTGAAACCTACCTTCACATTTGGGGATCAAACCACTCCACATCACCTTTCCCGCCTCCAGTTCACACACAATAGTATCTGAGCCTTGTGTCTTTATGAAGCCCTCCTCACACACCACTGAGATGGAGCTTCCCAGCTGGAAATTATTACCAAAGCGCTTGGCATTCATAGGCACTCCGGGATCTGGGCACTCATTGTGTCCAAACGCTGAACAAATAACATCAAAGCAAAGAGCTTGTTACTTGCAACGTGACTTACTTAATGAAATGGAAAGGAAAGAGCGAATGCATAATGGAATATCACACTGTAGGAAACAGAGGATTGTGGGTAAACACTAGGGTCCTGTATGTCATCGCACAAGCATTTGAGGATTATTTTAGCTGAGCTAATGGTGTGATGTTCAGCGAACAGGATTAAGTTGCTTGATGCTGGTGGATAAATGGCTTATGAATTAAATCAAGGAAAATATGTCCTTCCATATGTCTTACTTGACGACTGTTCGGAATCTGATTAAAGACAATGCTTCGCATGCCAAAGATGTTGTTAGCAAACACTACATTTTTAAGAGTATTAATCCTTTTATCCAAGCTTTTCTTTACTCTTTTTAGTTTAGAGCAGCCTAAAATAAACACACACACAATATATATATATATATAAATGCGTGCGTGTGTGTGTTTATTGTTTACTAAACCTATTAAAAATCATATTTTTAATTGTAAAAATATTGCACATTATTACTGTTTTTACTGTGTTTATTCAGAACACAATCTTAATCTCTATGTGAAAACCAAAGAGAAGCACTCACTGCTGTATGTGATGTTGAATCCTCGACCGGACATGGAGTGGTCAGCCTGAAACTCCAGCTGGAGGATGTTGGAGTTGCTGGTGAGGTGCGACGGCACTTCTGCCCCAGAGAAGCGTCCCAACACCACAGCATCCACCAGCTCTCCGTCCCTAACAGTCAGGAAGTCGTAGGGAGGCTCCAGGTCAAAATCATTGAAGGCCAAATGGATGCGGCTGCCTGGTTCGGCCATGATCAGCCAGACGCAGTTGAGGTTGTTGCCATAACCTTCCGGATAGTCTGGAGACAGAACCGTTCCCACGGCAGCCGTGAAGTTGGACATACAGGGAACTAAGAGAGGGAGGAGATGCTGATCAGATACATGAAGGTCAAAAGCAGCAAAGACTAATCTAAATTCATTTTAAAGGCATCAAATTTGGCTAAAATCTCTTAGCTGCAAGTTAAGGCAAGACACTACAGGCAAAACCAGTTTTTTTTTCATGCACTGGCCAATTTAGATATTTTGGGCTGATTTGCTTTCATAACATTTCTTTTTTTCAGACTAGTGGAAAGAAAACATCCAAACTGTACATTTTAGTGTTAGTTTTATTACACGTTTTCTCTTTGCGTCTGTAGATTTCAATTATGATATTCCATATCATTCTCATAATGTTTTTTTCCCATGCAATGAGCCAGAAATCTCCATTTAGTCTCCATTTGGTGATTGAAATAAATATGAAATAATGCAAAATATTAATAACAGATAAAGTATACTAAAAAAAAAAGTTTTTTTTATTAGAGATGTTGCCTTTGAAACTAACTGAAGGAATAATATACCAAAGAGAACCACATATACATATATATATATATATATATATATATATACATATACACACACACATATATATATATATATAAAATTAAAAAGTGAAAATGTAATAAAATATAATAATAAATATAATAATAATACATATTATAACAGTATATAATACTAAACATTTATATTTATATTTATACATACATGTATTATATATTTTGCACCTATACATTTCCTTTACAATACATATCTTTGAAAGCTGTTTTCGCAATATTCGTTTTTTTTTTCTCTCATGCAGCGTGATAGAAATCTGTTTTAATGGTACTTAAACCAATCTTTCTGGTTTTATTCCTATCTATATTCTGATACATTTTACAGAGAGGGTTTTGTTCACATATAATTTGCCAGATTTATAGAACATTTTATGCATTTTGTTTTTTGTTTTGGCTACTGACAGTATTTTCTGATTCATGGAATGAATAAGAGAGCCTCTGTAACCTTCAACTCCAATATGTCAACAAAAAACAAGAACCTGGCTTTACCCAATATTAAGATTTCTGTTCTGAAATGTGTATGCAAATTAGTGCATATTTAATTAGATAATGCCTCATATGCATATATTTTTTTAAAATTCAGAACTTACAACACAAAACAATTGTCTTAATCAAGTGGGAGAAGTATGGTGATATCTGTAAGTTAAAATGTTTACCCTATTCACCTGCAGTGTCTTGCCTTAAGCAATAACTAACACGCTGACAGGTGACAGCAGAGATAGAAAGAATGCTGCACCTGTTTCCTTGAGGGATTATTGCATTGTATTGGAAGCAGTAATTGAATTAAACTGTACTGCAGGGCACACTGGGAATTTTAAATCTCTTGAAACGGTATTGCTCTTTGGTGCTGTTTGCTTGTCAGGCTCTCAGAGAATTGTCATCTTATCATCTGCCAGAGCGCAGTTGTCCTTTCGAGTCTGTTAACTATATTTAACGGCGCAGCGGTTGTTTTGTTTACACACACCGACATAAAACACAGTTTTAATTAGTCCGACCTATTGACATCATTTCATTTAGACGTGTGTCTCACCGACTCGGAGAGATTCAAAGGGTCAGCAGCGCTCATCTTCATAATGAGCTTGTGAGGATGGATGGAGAACTGTGGTCTTAAATTACTTCCTGAACTCACAAGGCCTAATGTACCTGAAGAGAGCTAAACGTTAGTATTTCCCATACATCTTAGCCGCAGTTGGCAGGGAAATTACATCATGGCAACATGAATTGGCGACATGTCCATGTTATGATCACTTAAATGCACTTCACACAGTAATTATGACTTCCAAGCTCTTATGAACTTTCTAGAAGGACTTGTGCTGGCTTTCAAGTCTTGTCAGAATGATTGTATTTACAGTATAATGGCAAAAATGTCATGATTAGCAATATTTAACTCTGGATTACCTTTGGGCTATATTATTTTTTATTTTCTTTAACTTTGATATATAATATATCATGGACTTGTTAGTGGTGCATATCCAGAAAACAAATTGTACACTACCGTTTTTTTGTTGTTGTTGTTTTTTTTGAAAGAAATTAATACTTTTTTTCAGCAAAGATACATCACATTTATCATATGTGACAGTAAAGGCAGCTATAATGTTACAAAATATTTCTATTACAAATAAAGGCTGTTCTTTTCAACTTTATATTAATCAAAAATCTCTGGTTTCCACAAAGATATTAAACAGCTCAAATGTTTTCAGAATTGACAATTACGTTTCTTGAGCAGTAAATCAGCATATTAGAATGATTTCTGTAGCATCATGTGAAACTGAAGACTGGAGTTATGATGCTGAAAATTCAGCTTTGATCACGGGCATAAATTATATTTCAAATATATTCAAATAGAAAACACATTTTAAATCTTAATATTTCACAACAATGTTGTTTTACTGTAAAAGAATAACAATTGGAGAGAATAACAATAAAAAAAAAAAAACATTTTTTTTATTATTATTTTTAACGACCTCAAACTTCTGTACAGCACTTTGGTCCACTTGGGTTGTTTTAAAGTGCTTTATAAATAAAGTTTGATTAATTGATTGGCTGATTTTGAACAGTCATGTAAAAAATACCACGGCATTCATAATGGTAGTGTCAAAAACATGATACATGGTAGATTCGTCCACCTTTTAAAAGGTATTGTAAAGTTTTAATTGTGAGTGTTAACCGCATAATTTAGCTTGTATCAGAGTATGTGAGTGGAGCGGCAACAATTTCCCCTCCGTGCTCCAACCATTCAATAATCACTCCGCTCCGGGTTCACCATTTCCAGCTCCTCGCTCACTGATATCACAAACACCGCTCCATCTTCGCTCCCTGAGGAAATTTACGGCTAATTTAAAGTATTTCAGTATGTTTTGAAATATCACAGAAGTTCTGTTCATAACATGTATTAAAAGAAAAGAAAATACAAGGAGAGTAGTTTCAAAGTGGCTTATTGTAACACTAGTGTGCAAACTTTTTTCCTGCCACATGCCAAGCTTATTACATGGTTGTCAGCATTAAAAAATATCTATCATTGCTGCTTTTTGCTGTGCAAATTTTGTTTGTGAAGGATGAAAAATAGTATCGTTATTTTATATACGGATCGCTGCATTTCTTACAGATTTCTGCTCATTCGAAATTGGATACAGATGAAGTAGCACTGTAAGATTACATTTGCTTGAATGCATTATTGAGAGAGCATTGCGTGTGAATAAGTGTTGTAACGTATATATAACGAATATGTGTTTAAATCACGCTTTCACACGAAAATATTCAGTATCTAGAAGGAACAAACAAAGTCCTTGAGAACTAACTTCCCGCTGATGTCCATTGCCGTCATCATAACCTTCACATTCTTTCTGATTTAAGTGATCCATCTGTATAAAGCTATAGCTAAATATGTTTAACGTGAATTCTTGGTAAATATGCAGTTGGCATGAATTGTGCTGGTGATGGAGCGGCAGTGGAGCGAGTGAAAACCACGACGCTCCGACTTTTAAAAAATCTGTTCCTCGCTCCATGATAAGACAACATTTCCCATCATTCTCTGTGGCAGCATGAGTATGATGAAATACATAAAGCATCAATTACACACTTAATGCTCATCCTTTGCTCTTAATTTTGTTGCATTAGCACTTAAAAAGCTTCCAATCTGAGAGAAAGAAAAAGGAAATTGCCCAATCAATGAGATACTACTATAGTTTTTATTAATATTTTGAAGTAGTTTTCATTTTTATATTTTATTTCATTTCAATTTTAAACTTTTAGTAAATGTATTGTTTTTATAATTTATATATATATATATATATATCATAGACTGTATAAAAACATGGACGTAGTGTCCATGACGTCACCCGTAGATTTCTGAAGAGTGTTTTTGAAGCTCAAAAGTGGGCGGAGGCGGCCGTCGCCATCTTAGCAGCGCGTCACTGCGCGTCACTCCCGGATAATCAAAAATGGGCAAAGAGGCGGGAGCAGGTTGCTGAAGCCACGCCCACCTAGCTCGACGGTGGCGACAGCAGCGGCAATCCACCTGTCACTCAAGTGGCCACACCCTTAATTATGCAGAACTTTAAGGCTTAATATAATTTAAACGGATGAGTTATAAAAAAAATTCACACCCCTCATAGTTGTCATGAAGGGCAAAATGAGCTATATAGACCAAAATAATTTTTTGAACCAGGCTGTAAATATGTTTTTTTTCTGCTGTAAAGTTGGGCATTTTAACATGGGGAGTCTATGGGATTGACTACCTTTTGCAGCCAACCTTTTGACGAATTACAGTTTAAGTCACTTCCTTGTTGGCTTCATGAGAGAGAGAGCGGGAGGTTGCCTACAATAACCTTGGTTTCCATCAGCTTGCATTTCAGTCTCTTCTTCATGCAATGTGATTCCTCATTCAGAAAACGTAGAAGCACGTTTTTGGTTATTTTTTGGAGCTTGACAGTATAAATCACCCTCAACTTTCATTGCATGAATAAGAGGGAAAAAATGCTCAGATGTTTTGTTTTGTATGTTTCAAAAAGAAAAGAAAAAAAAAAACATTTAGACTTTGAAGCACATAAATAATGATAGAGAAGTGTCTAGCAGCACTCACATATACAGATGGGGATGTTAGCAGACCACTGATTGTTATTCTGACAGGAAATCATTCGTTCGCCAATGAGCTCGAATCCGAACTGGCACTCGAAGCGCAGCACGTCTCCGTTGGAGAAGCCCCCGCCCTCTCGGAGTCCATACAGAGGGATGCCGGGATCCCCACAACTTCCCTTGTCAATTTCTGTAGGTAGGCAAGAGAGACGAGAAGAGGGAGAAAAACAGCAGTAAAGCTTTTGAGCCAGCAGAGTGATTTATGTGGGCACTCTGAAGAAGCTGAGGCAGAGAACAGACTCACCTTTATAGTTGATCTTAAAGCCAATAGAGCCCACACTTTCATCAGACTGCAAATGCAGCCACATTTGATGGGTCATACTGACGATGAGGTCAGGGACGAAACTTCCCGTTAACCTGTCCATGCAGAGTGAACAAAAGAAAATAAGCGTCTGTGAGTTCAGAATACAAAACACTAGGGTGGTGGTACCATGCTATAATAATGCTGTCAAATGCCAATACTATGGTATTCTGATATATGCTATAGTATTGAATAATTACTATGTTTATAACACAGTGGTATTTTTATGGTACTCAAAGGTTAGGGGTCGGTAACATTTTTTAAATATTAAAAAAAATATATCTTAGGCTCACACAATAGCTGCATTTATTTGAACAAAAAAAAACAGTAATATTATGAAATATTATTACGATTTAAAATAACTGTTTTATATTTGAATATATTTTAAAATGTAATTTATTGCTGTTAGTCAAAGCTGAATTTTCAGCATCATTACTCCAGTCTTCAGTGTCACATAATCTTCAGAAATCATTCTAATATGCCAATTTGCTGCTCAAAAAACAAATATTATTATCAATGTTGAAAACTGTTGTGCTGTTTTGTGGAAACTATGATACTTTTTCTCAGGATTCTCTGATGAATAGAATGTTCAAAAGAACAGACTTTATATGAAGTATTCTGTAACAATGTAAAAGTCTCTACTGTTACAATTTAATGCATCCTTAATAAATAAAAGTACTGATTTTTTTAAAGACCCCAAATGGTAGTGTATATCCAACAATATCATAGAATAGCCATGGTATTTATTGAAAAAAAAATAGTATTACCATAGCACATATTCTAAAACCAACAAACAAAGCTTACAAAAAAGTACTAGACTAGTATCAAAGTACAGGTGCATCTCAATAAATTAGAATGTCATGGAAAAGTTCATTTATTTCAGTAATTCAACTCAAATTGTGAAACTCGTGTATTAAATAAATTCAATGCACACAGACTGAAGTAGTTTGGTTCTTTTAATTCTTTTAATTGTGATGATTTTGGCTCACATTTAACAAAAACCCACCAATTCACTATCTCAACAAATTAGAATACTTCATAAGACCAATAAAAAAAAATTTCAAATGGTAGTGTATATCCAACAATATCATAGAATAGCCATGGTATTTATTGAAAAAAAAAATAGTATTACCATAGCACATATTCTAAAACCAACAAACAAAGCTTACAAAAAAGTACTAGACTAGTATCAAAGTACAGGTGCATCTCAATAAATTAGAATGTCGTGGAAAAGTTCATTTATAATATATGCAGTCAGCAGGCGATTGGTTTAGGTTTTTTTTTTGGCATCTCCATGTGGTCCTGTTCGGTATCACAACTTGGCTTCTCTAAAATTTAAAAAAGCTCTTTGCTGTTGCACCGTACACATACTATAAAATTCTGATTTTTTTTCTTTCATTTGTGCTTATATGGGCTCCTTATATCATTTGTATGTCTATTACACACCGTGACCAATTTGACCAACTCAGACCCGAAGAAAGGCATTAATTGAGCTTTACAGTATGTATTGGTGTTCTGGCAGTGAGTGTCTTTTGTCCTTGAGGAACACTCTGTGAGCGCGCAATGGATCGCAGCTGGAACAGAGCCAGGCAAATGCACCAGAAAGCAGCACAGACCTTCACCAAGTGTGTCTGCCCAAGATACCAGGAGACATACGGCTGACGGCGAGAAGAGGTGGTGAGGGGAGGTGGACAGAAAAACATGTTTGTGAGGGAGAAAAATACAGTATTTGTGCCTGTGCGGTTTTTATGGTTTTGTGGCTTTCATGCTGTTGAAACGGATAACTGCTGTAAAGCTGAACAAAATGCAAGATAAAAAAATTTAAATAAAAAGAGGGGGAGAAAAAAAATCTGGATTTTCTTTGTTCATTCAAAAATAAAATAAATGTAATGTAGTATGCAGATATACACCAGAAACAAGTGGCATGCCACAACTTGTCTAACTTCAGCACTTCATTTTCTCTGTCTGTCTGAAATAAAATGATTTTATTCACAAATCACATGTGTGAATTGCCTGCTATACATTTTATTTGTTATACATTTTAATAATGTTTGTGCATGGTAAATGGTTAGTAAAACTAAATTGAAAACCTGTTGGTGCAAGACAACGTTGTGGAAAAAAATTAAAATGTGAGAAAAGAGACATAATGTTCCCTATAAAATATTCCAGCTGCAAGTTAATGGTCAATGTTAATTATTCAAGATTACAAAAAAATCATTGTCTTGTTTTCCAGCTAAAATATACAAATATCCTTAAAAGAAGAAATATTTACTTGAGAAACTAAATCGAATAAGATATTAAGACCTTGAATTATGTTTATTTTCTCACTCTATTGGCAAACAGTTCTTGTTTTAAGCATGAATACAATTCAATAAAGTTTACAAACAATTTTATTCAATGTTCAAGGTCTTCATTTCTTACATCTAAATAGACTTGGCATATCTTAAGCATATTTTGTTTCTCAAGCAAATTTATCTTGATTTAAAGATGTTGGATATTGTAACTGGAAAACAAGATAAAATACTGACAGAGGATTTCATTTTTTATTTGCTGTACATTACAGAAAACACTCATGGCATGCAACTTCAGAATAACATTGAAATCTTACGCTTTTATGATTGTTTGCTATGATTTTTATTTGTTACATCTTTCAATTATGTTTTTGCAGGGTAATTGGTCATGTAAAACTAAATTGTGACTTGTTGGTGCAAGAAAATGGTAAGTGAAAAAATTATATTTGAGAAAAATGGCAATGCTGCCCCTATAAAATATGCTAGCTGCAAGTCAACAGACCTTTGACATTTTGACATGTTTTCCAAACATTCTTAAAACAAGATACATTTATTTGAGAAACCAGATTGCATAAGATATTAACACCTTGAATAAAATTAGTTTTTTTACTCCATTGAAAAATTGTTCTTATTTCAAGCATGAATTTAATTAAATGTAGTGAGGTTTATAAACTGATATGTAAGGACAAATATAGATCAAGGTCTTAAGTTCTTATTTCTAAATAGACTTTGCATATCCTAAGCATATTTAGTTTCTCAAGTAAATTTATCTTGAGTTAAAGATGCTTCTGGAAAACAAGACATGTGAAATGTTTTTGCAGTACAATACTGAAAACACTCATGAGCAGTGTTGTGGGTAACGCATTACAAGTAACGCAAGTTACGTAATCAGATTACTTTTGTCAAGTAACTAGTAAAGTAACGCATTACTTTTTAATTTACAAGAGAATATCTAAGTTACTTTTTCAAATAAGTAACGCAAGTTACTTTTTTTCCAATTTATTGATTGACAGCTCTCCAGTCCCCATGTTGAGAGAAATCAGAAGATGCTACTGTAGCATAACTTCAGTAGAACTCTGAATCTTACACTTGTATGATTGTTTTCGAGTCGCCAACCTCTCCACCGTCTCCGACAGTCAACGTATCATATCCCAGCTCCAAGTCGAACTCTTCGAAATTGATTTGAATAACCTGCGATGGGAACAAAATCACTGAATTAGCGTTAGAAGTCTTTGTAATGGAACGCCACTCGAGTCAATGAAGCACCTTGACCGGAGGGATTTCTCCATATGCTCTCAGTTACAGAGAATGAGTAGTGTGCATTCCACACCACCTTAATTAAGTTTCTCAGTACTAGAGCGCTTCAGACATCATCAAATATAAATGATACACACTATTCTCAATAAATATGATATTCATGAGCTCACCGGGGCCAGCACTCGGCTGCAGCATATGTCGCCTGTATATTTCAGCACATTTGCTCGTACCCTCTGCGGCCCCATTGAACCGAGGCGCTATAACCGAAAAATTCAGCGGAGGCAATGCATCAATTACCCAACAAATCATTTGCACAGTCCAATGAATGTTGAGGGTAAAACAAATTTCCGAGAGTGCTTTCAATCAGCGGCTCAAGTTCGCAAGTAAACATTCGAGAGACGTGCTCTGCTTGTGCCGTGTGATTTCAAACGCTCACTTGTACATTAACAACGTCCTGTTTGCATAATCACCCCCTGGTGTGCGTTTGGAGACAGTGGGGAGCTGCCGCTGCTCACATTTAGTTAGACACCATGAAAACTTGCCTTCTGGCACTTTTACGGCACACTGAGGAATGAAACCCGCACATAAGGTATATGTGACGGCTGCCACTTCTGTCTCGTGGGTTGATTTTTATTAACGCTAACAGATTTCAACTTGGCTTCTTTTTGATAAATGAAGGTCACATTAAAGTCCTGGAAAGTTTTCGCCATGCCTTCTTGCTGCTTTTCAAATACTTCTCTTTCATGTTGTCCCAGAACCAGACTTTCAAATATTAAAATATGATGAAAAAAAAATATGAAAGAAACATGAATTCGCACATATGTCATAAAACTTTGATCTAAACAAAGAATGAAGAACAAACCATTACAATATGCCCACACTACATTTTTTAAAGTTTGGGGTCAGTATGATTTTTTTTTTAATGTTTTTTAAAGATGTCCCCAAGGCTGCATTTATTTGATCCTTTACTTGATCAAAAACAGCAGTATTGTGAAATATTATACACATTTTAAATGACAATTTTCTCTCTGAATATATTTTCAAAATTAATTTAAAACAGTGATCATGTGATGGCCAATGCTGCATTAATTTGATCAAAAATGCAGTAAAACAGTAATATTCTCAAATATTTTTACAATTTAAAATAACTGCTTTCATTTGAATTTATTTTAAATTAAAATGTAATTTATTCCTGTGATGCAAAGCTCAATTTTCAGCATCATTTCTCCAGTCTTCAGTGTCATGTGATCCTTCAGAAATCATTAATATGCTGATTTGCTGCTCAAGAAACATTTCTGATTATCATCTTTTTTTTTTTTTAGGAGTTTAGGATTCTTTGATGAATAGAAAGTTAAAAACAACAGCATTTATTTTTTTATGTATTTAAAAGAATATTTTTGTAACATGATCAAATGTTTTTGCAGCCAGTTCTGATCAATTTATTATTAATAAAAGCATAAATGTCTTTAAAAACCCTAAACTTCTGAAATATTTGAAAGAGCACTTCAATATTACAATATGCACTGTACTGCATGAAAGCAATTTTTTCAATAAACGTTTTTCAATAAACATTTTCAAACTATCATATGATATAAAGAATCATATTTATAAATAAAATGATAGCTATGAAATTAGCTTTATGGCAAGACAAAGGAGTCAGACAATTTGTAACAAAAATCAGAATGTATTCAAAACCAAGTACATTATTTGAGATGTGACAGAAATGGCATTTTATTTTAAATGTACATTAGTGTACATTTATTATATACATTGTACAAATGTACTTTTGAGATGATGTATAAACAACCACATGCTGTTAAAGAAACATCCATATACTGCATGTGTGCACAGCTTACAGGAGATCCATATGCACAAAAAAAAAAAATCTCTTACAGCTCTTACACTGATATTATTAGTGGTTTACTAATGAACACAATCAGGCAACCATAAGAAAGTCCTGCTTCGTCTCCTTAAGTTCATATATTAACTTCATTTATTGTGTTAACACAATAATAATGCCAATGAGCTGCCCATGGGTCTCTAATAATGGGTCTGCGGAAAACGCAATAAAATTTGAACTTTGCAATTCCGTCGGGCGAAGATAAATGAGGTAATAATGTCATGTGTGTTAGGGCTCATTTGCATTTCTCACCAGAGGAAAGCTCAGATTTAGCAGCAATTGACGACACGAATCAGCTATTTGCTGGTTGTTAATGGCCTGGCATGAAATGGGAATGAAAAAAAATGAAAGTTTTGAAACCAACACCTGAAATGTGCCATTTGCGGAAAGAGATAATGGAAAGAAAAACTGTTGACTCACAAAAACTAATGTAAAGTGCATATCATTCATACATATAATAGTTAAGAATCTTTTCAGTGTTTTTAAATGGGAATTGCATTATCTGAGGTGCTGTAGAAGATGATGATGTTTTTATTGATGAGGACTAATCTATCTTGCACAACGGGGCACAAGAGTCAGGAGAGCGATTTCAGTCCTAATGTAGATACTGATACCTCATCAGTAATCTCTCGCAAAAGCAGGTTTTAACAAGCAAAAAAAAATATTTAAAAATCAAAACAGCCTATTTACTACAGCTATTGTTAGTATTGTAAAACAATAAAAAAAAGAGAATAGTTTTGGAACTACATGTTGTATTAAATTTTTAGATATATGAGATATTGACATTCATAAAAAAAACTATATATATATATATATATATATATATATATATATATATATATATATATATATATATATACATTTCATTAAATCTGTAAATTTTGCTAAATGGAAATTACGTTTACTTTTTTAATGACTATTTTTGCTAAATTAATATTTTTAAACATTTCATATTAAAATAATTATATGACTGTAAATGCATTTAAAAAGTTGACCATGATTTGAAATGCCAAAACACCTACAGCTACTGTTAGTATTGTAAAACAATTTGTAAAAAATTATAGAATCGTGTTGAAATCCTCTGTTCTTTTTTTTTATTTATTCATTTATTTATTTATTGTTTTTGTTTATTAAATACGTAATTTTTTAAGTATAAGATATTGATGTTTTCATAAAAAAATCTGATTTAGATAAAACAGAAAATAACATTAAAAGTGTATATCTTTGCTAAATTAATAGTACATTTAGATTTAAATTAATATTTTTTCTAAATTAATATGTATATAATAAAACTCATATTTAAGCAAATAAAATAGAAAAGGCAGGCTTCCAACAGCGCAACGCTAAAGAAAAGCATCTCGAAAACAGAAGTAAATCAAATGTAATCACTGTAAATTCATTTTTTAAAAGTGACCATGGTTTGAAATAACAAAACACCCTATTTACTACAGTTACTGTTAGTATTGTAAACCAATAAAAAATGATGGAATCACATTGGAATTACTTTTTTTTATTAAATATGTCATTTTAAGATATAAGATATTGACATGTTCATAAAAAGCTTTGGGTTTGAGTCAGATATGGAGCGATGTGTGTAATCATTGTACCTTATTGGGGTTACTGGCGGTGATAATCCAAACACACTGCGAGTTACTCTCATACTGGATGGGGAAATTAAGCGATGTAAACGTTCCTGAAGGGCCCAAGAGGTTCATCCCACATGTTTTCACTGCAAAACGGTGAAATACAGAGAAGAACTCATTTGTAATGAATTAGAGAAGACTAACATACACACAAAAAAGGTTTTGTGGACAGAAGTTCTGCATAGGTAAATTTTAAACGTGACCCTGGAGCACAAAAGCAGTCTTAAGTCGCTGGGGTATATTTGTAGCAATAGCCAAAAATACATTGTATGGGTCAAAATTATTGATTTTTCTTTTATGACAAAAATCATTAGGATATTAAGTAAAGATCATGTTCCATGAAGATATTTTGTAAATTTCCTACCGTAAATATATTAAAACTTAATTTTTGAATAGTAATATGCATTGCTAAGAACTTCATTTGGACAACTTTAAAGACGATTTTCTCAATATTATGATTTTTTTTGCACCCTCAGATTCCAGATTTTCAAATAGTTGTAACTCGGCCAAATATTGTCCAATCCTAACAAACCATACATCAATGGAAAGCTTATTTATTCAGCTTTCAGATTTCGAAAAATTGACCCTTATGACTGGTTTTGTGGTCTAGGGTCACAAATGAATAGATTCTTCAAAAAGACAAATTTTTTCAGCATTTATTCACCATGTCTACAAAAAAAGAGCTGTCCAAGCTGCTTTTTTATATAATAAAAAGAAATAAAAGCAATTTACTCTCAAGCTTCAAAAAGAACAAAAAAGCACTAGAAAATGCACAAGGTTTGGACGTCATTGGTTCACCATTGGATAACTATCCACTTTTGTTTAATGACAAATGGGTTTTTGTAGAAGGCAATAATACAGGTTTGGAACAACAGGAAGTAAATTTTCATATCTGAGTGAAATATTATTTTAAAACTCAGCTGTTATCAGTCTCAAGAATCAATGGTATTGGATTGTAGGATCACGGGACATCAGTAGATCAGATGTCTGGTCTAATCCTGCTCAGAGGGTTTATTGAAGGCAATGGTCTAACCTTTACAGACGGGTCTGTGGTCACTCCAGGCCGCGAACACCTCAGCGACCCTCTGGCACGTGATGCTCTTGGATCCCTGAAGCACGTGGTCCCCGTCACAGGTGAAATGAACCGTCGCACTGATGCTGAACAAACGTAAGCCAGGGAATCAATGAAGGAATTCTCCTCGAGCGCCTCCCACGCGTCCCGACAGATTGATCAGTGCTGCGTGCCGCAGCCTCATGTCAGAGCAAATGTCAGGCAGGAATATAATCAGGGATTTCATTCCTACTGAAAAACCTTGGCATAGGGTTCCTTGAGGAAATGTTCCCATGACTTTTTGTTTCCATTGCCAGGTTTGTCCCCACTTTGCAAAATAGCTTTACGTAATTTATTCCTTTTTTATGTTTTGTTGAATGGTCATTGCCACTGTTATCAGAATTGCACAGTGTCAATATGTATCAGTAATACTTTACAATAAGATTTAATCTATTCAAATTAGAAAAATGTAACGCATTAAAACTAAAATATGAAATGCATAAAAATTTATATTTGCTAAATTAATATGCAGCTAAAAAAAATGTATTTAAGAAAATTTAACATAACATATAACATCATGGGTATTTATGCAAAATTAATATCAAATAATTTAATTTTTAGAAAAAAATATTTAGAAAAAAACTAATATAAGCAAGCAAAATATACATTTACATATATGTTAATAAAATATAACATTAAATGTTTTTTTTGCTAATTTAATACAATTGATATATTTAACTTAATAGTTTGCAAAATATTAATATTTAAGCAAATAAAAAAGTAGATATAAAATTAAATGTGTAATGTTAAAGCTAATTAAATGCATATTCATTTCATCACTTACTGTATATTGTATATACTATATATCTACAAGAAAAAAATAACATCATGAGTATTTTTGCTAAATTAATATTTAATAAATAATACAATAATTTTTACTAAACAAATATTTAGGGGGGGGGGATATTTCAGCAAGTAAAATATTATATATTTGCATATGTATTGATAAAATGTCATATTATTTTTCACTAATTTAATAAAAATGATATTGATTTATATTTATAAAAAATAAATAAAAAAGTAAAGCTAAATAAATCATAATATTTTGCAAAAATTATTCATATCTTAGACAATAAAAAAGAAAATATTACATTAAATGTGTAATTTTTTGCTGATTTAATATAAATTAATTAATATTAAAAATGTGTATCATATTAAATATTTAAATTAATATTTTTCTTACATAACATTTAAGCAAATAAAATAGAATCTATAAGATTAAACATGTAATGTAATGAGAACAAAGTATGTCAAAACATATTAAATGCTAATTTTTGTTTAATTTATTTTGGATTCTTCAATGTTATTGTTTACATTTCGGTTTCAACTTGTAAATGAGCAAAAGAAGCTATTAAAGACTTCAGTTTATAAGCTGTAAAAGATCATATTAAACTATTTGTGCATGACCTAATTAATATCCTTGAGCTATTCTCTCACAACTGCATGACATCATAACTGTCCCCATCATTTTCTTGAAACAAAACTGCATCTATGTGTCTGGTGTGGACAGCCTGTCTACCTGTAATCGGTGCCATTGCGTTTGCCGTTCTCTGGTTCCCCGGGGTCCGGGCAGAAGTTGGAGACCTGCTTGACCATCCCTTCATTCACTGTGGGAGGAGAAAGAGCATATGGAGACATAAGCCAACACGAAACCATCAGCCTTCATCACCTGTGATCACTTTCTCTACATAACACAGCCTCGGTTATCAGACATCGAATTTCATCCTCAATCAAAAAAGAATTTGGCGCAATATCTCATCCATAAGTAGGTGTTGGCGCACGATAATTACCACAGGAGGTGACGTTATGTGGGTAATTTAAGGGAAGCGTTTAGAAAGGGGTGTTTGTCAGCAGACCGGGGTCCTGAATAAGACCCGATAATTCACTCATAACTCATATTTCTGAATGCATGATGCAGACACTGTGAAATAGAGGCTCATAAAAATTCTATCCAGTTGTAATTAAGTGTTTGGAGTGCTACATTGTCGAGGGTGAAATAAATCAGTCTGCATTTCATTACGACGCTGGTGCACATGAAGCCATAAAAAAAAGGACTTGTTCACTTTCGCTGCATGCACAAATCATTTCCATAGATAGCGATCGGGCATCTGCCGGAGCGTGTGGCTCGGGTCTGTATCCAGGTTAGGCTGGTGGTTTGGATGGTCAGTAATTAAACTCAGTTGGAGTGAAATCCCACCACCTGTGTGCCTTCTAAAGCCGCTCGCTTCGTGGATTTGACATTATCTTCCGAAGAGCTTCTGTGGGTGAGGGACCTCTAAGTCAAGCTAAGCTCAATTAATCAAAATGCAGATTTCTGTTTCGTTGGATGCTCTAATTTCCTTTGATCCATTTGCTAAATGGCAAACGAGAGGATTACAAAAATGTGGCATTGTTCACGCTTTATGAATCACAGGCTTTGAAGGTGTAGATGCGAAATCACCGGCGGAATAACATCTACGGAATATTAAACAATTAACAGGGATGCACATCAGAAAGAAATTAAGCAGCGAAGAGCTTTTATGACATTAGAGCAACAGTATTAACAGCCATAATTACGCATGACATGCAGCAGCACTGGAGAGCAGATCTTAAAGTTGCTTGGTTTTTACTTGAACAAGCCTACATAATGAGTTACACAAACACAAAAACTGCAAAAAAGCTATATTTTTTTGGGACTACAACCATGGTATTCTATGGGAGACCCGAATAAACATTGGTTGTTTAATAAGGTTGCCTAACATATTATCACAAAAAAATTTGTAATTTGACACGTTAAAGGGATAGTTCACCCAAAAATGAAAATTCTGCAATCATTTACTCACCCTCAAGTTGTTCCAAAACTGTATGTCTGACACACACACATACATATATATATATATATATATATATATATATATATATATATATATATATATATATATATAGATAGATATTTATTTATTTTTTTGGCACAAATGTTGGCAACCAAACAGTTGCTGGTAGCTGTTGACTTCCAAAAAAAGTTCTATAGAAGTCAATGGCTACCACCAACTGTTTGGTTACCAACATACAGAAGAAAGAAAATCGTATAGTTTTGGAACAACTAGAGTGTGAGTAAACTACAAAATTTAAATTTTTGGCTGAACTATCGCTTTAACAAAATCTGTGTGATATGCACACTTTAAAAAAATTAGTTTTAATTTTTATAACTAATAAATAACTCTAAAATATTGGAAAAATGCTATGGACAAAAAAAAAATTGTTAATAGGTTAACAGTAAGTTCCCGTACTATATACAGGGAAAAACTGTAAAAGATCTAACCAGACATTTCATGTAATTTTACAGTAAAATTGTTAATTGTACAATTTTTAGAAGTAAAAAAAGAACAAATCAACGTATAATTTACAGTACAAAAACTGTAAACTGATATTCCCAGAATTCCCAGCGTGACACTTCACATTTGAAAGTATTTTGTATAAATAATCATGTTTCTTAATAGTTTTGTCATGTTTGTTATAAGTTATGTACATGTGGGTTTTATGTTATATCTTCTGTTGTTTAATGAATGTTTATTGCATTATTTAAGTGTTGTGTATGTTACCATGATGGTGTTTAGTGTTTGCATGAATGACTCTGTGTCTTCTATATATTAGTATATACTTCAGCTTGTGGAAAAGCTACTTGTGATGAACTGATTCTTCATATTGCTGTCTCTTTTGCCACCTGCATTATTATGGTGATTGTCAATTTATTTTAAAGATACAAAACAGATTTTAGTAGCAGTGTGCATTGTTGAATGTACTAGTTTACACTCAAATTTTCTTGTTTGTAAAATACAGTTTTATACTGTAAAATTTACAGTTTGTTCTGTAAATGTTTTTGCAGTTTTTCTGTAATTTTTACAAAATTATTCTGGCAACCACAGCTGCCAAAATTATTTGGAATATATTTGTAAAAACTACAGATATTTTTTTACAGTTCATGTGTTCATGCAATCTGCATTTAGAGTCTCATACTGTACAAAACAAGCTTTTGGTCATACCGACCATTACTATAATGGTTAATTAAAGTACCATATAATCATTTGACATATCACATAATATTAGGGGTGGGCGATATACCGGTAGAAATGTTGGACTATCATCTATATTGCAGTTACGCTCATGTGACATTTCCGTGCTGCACCAACACAAAAGCTTGTCATTTGAATGTTTTTTAATCACTATGGTTTAAAAACAAGTGATTATAATGAGCAAAAATGTAGCTATGTGCACTCAAACTATCTCTCAGACAGTGCGCACATAAAGCCACTTTTAATATTATAATACAGAGCATGAGTAGGCCTACTGAACTGAGTTATTTTGGGTGCCTCATTGGGCTTGAATGGTCAAACACACACTTATGTATCAAAATGCCCATATTTGCGAGTATCCACACAGTCGCTTATGTCTTAAGTGAACGTATACAGTTGAGAAAGAAAATGCATGCATGTCAGCATATTAGATCAGTGCATTCTGTCTTAAAGTGACAGCAGCCTAAACCTGGTGCTGTCTGTGTCATTAATGTTAAAGGGATAGTTCACGCAAAAATGAAAATTGGCCCATGATTTACTCACCCTCATGGCATCCTAGGGGTATATGACTTTCTTCTTTCAGACAGATTCAATCGGAGTTATATAAAAATTGTTCTGGCTCTTCCAAGCTTTATAATGGCAGTGGGCAGTTGTTTCTGTTCAACAGTTCAAAAGAAGTCGTATAAAGCGCATCCATCCATAATAAAAAAGTGCATCACACGGGTGAATAAAGACCTCCTGTAGCGAATCGATGCATTCTTGTAAGAAACATATCCATATTTAAAATGTTATAACCAGTTTTCTGTAGCTTGCGCTATCTGTCGTATGCGGAAGCCGTTCCATGGATGACGTAGGATGTATGCGTAGCGCACGCGCCAGTGCAAATATGCTAATTTCACGAAAATCAGCATTTGTTTACAGGAGAAAAGGAAGCAAAGTTTCCTTACTTTAGCAAAGGAAAACCAGTTTCCTCTTGGTTTATATTGAAATCCTCCAACAATTTTCTTTACAAATCCTCGTTTTGTGCTTCTAATTCGTGACCAGTGTTTTGTTCTGTTCTCTCCTCTCTGCTTCCACGTTCGTCACTTCTCACCAGCGCATGTGCCATGCATACGCCCTACATCATCCGCCCGGAATGAACGCGCATACGACAGTTAACGGAAGCTATAGATTACAGTTTATAATGTTTTAAATATGGATATTTTTCTTACAAAAAAGTATCGATTCGCTACAAGAGGTCTTTATTCACCCCACGGAACCGTGTGGGACACTTTTTTTTATTACGGATAGATGCGCTTTATAGGACTTCTTTTTGAACTGTTGAACAGAAGCACCCGCCCACTGTCATTATAAAGCTTGGAAGTGCCAGGACAATGTTTTATATAACTCCGAATGGATCCATCTGAAAGAAGAAAGTCATATACACCTAGGATGGCTTGAGGGTGAGTAAATTATGGGCTAATTTAAAATTTTGGGTGAACTATTGCTTTAATCAAATGACAAATGAGAGAAAATCTCTCACTGCTATTGACTGAATGACTTTCGTAACTTTTGTAGAGATTTCTAAATATGAACGGACACTGATATCAGCCATCATGAGGTCCGGATTAATTTAATCAAGAGTTGCCACAGAGATCTTTTGTATGAGGACTGAAAATACCGCGTGATGCCTCGTGATCCAATGAAAATAACTATTATATGTATGCACAGGAAGCGGCTATGTTAATCACGCCCTCGGGCCAGCAAGCACGGGATATCTATGCATGACTGTCACATGTCTTGTGACCACCTACTTCCTGCCCTGTCTGAAACCCCAACGGACCCGCGTCCTTATGTTACAACAAAAGAAACAGAACCTTGCATGATGATTGTAAAAGATAAATCGTTTAAAAAGTAGTGAAAATGTATCCACTGCATGTGTTATGCCGTATATATATATGTGTGTGTTGTGTTATTGAAACCATGATATTTTAATATGCCTTATAACTCATTTTAGCAGACAAAGCATTTAATATGCATGTAAGATATATGAAGTTTAATATCGGGTGAAAGCTGGTCTTATTCGCCGAATATTGGTGTTAGTGAAACTTTTATATTATGTATCATTCTCTGGTGATAATACTTTTATCAGAAGGTATTTAAAACTTCCAGAAATATGCCCCACGGAGCATGTGACTTGTGCATGAAAAAAAGAACCACACAGGGCGTGGCTATGCGTCCGATTGGAAGATTGCGTCGTGGGGCGGACCAAAGGTCAGCCTGCTTAAAATGGACACAACGCTCTTGCTCGAGGCTCGCTCTCTCACTAAAAAGAACTTTGGCTTTCACCTTGGTGAGCGCGACAAAGCGCCCCCATGCCGTAACATCGCACAAGCGAGACCACCTAAGAACTCAAACACTTCAGTTGAAGCTTCGTAACTGCAGAATGCAAAGTCTTGCAAACTCAGGCTTTTAGCAGGACTGCTGAAGCCTCTTCTGTAACCCGGCAACCAACCAACCCAACGAGGGCTTTCCCAAAAGGACTCATTCAAACGTCATTCCGACGTCACCACAACAGCCAATCAGCAAAGGAATTTCCCTCCAGCAGCCATCCAGTAGCCACGAGGAATGACTTAGCTTCTCAGCTGTCAACCAAGCAGAACGCAAGTAAACGAGCAAAATCTTATCTCTGCTGAACTGGTGTAGAGCTACTTTAAGCAGTAAACAGAAGCTAAAATTCTCTGCTTTGTGAATTCTCTCAGGTGAATCGAAATCACTCGTGAAAACAAGATAGAACTATGAAACTCCGTCAACTCTCATTCTAAGAAACTGTACATGGGTGTGTGTGTGTGTGTATGTTTGTGTGTTTTAGCTTAGTTTTGATGTAATCTGGAATAGCCAATAAAATTCATGTTTCATTTATAAAGAATCAATGTTGGTGTCATATAATTTCAAGGTTAAAACTGTTGCCAAAAAGATCCCTTGCTACCTAGCTCGTAGCTTACTTATAATAATTACTATAATAGCTTACTTATAAAATTGTGTTGACCGTGGCCAGGAAAATACATATTCCATTTGTTAAAATATACTGAGGTAACGGCTCGCTGGACGACCCTTGATTTAAAGTGTAAAATAACAAATCTGGAATCAGGTTGAATTAGGCTCTTCAGATCCTAGTCCTCTAAAACCTGAATTAATAATAATAATTAATTCCCTTATACAATTACTGAGTTAATTTCTTACACTTTAATAGTAATAAATCTATAATTAATTTACCCAGTGAATACTATGCAGTGATTTTTGTACATACAGTTTAAGTAGTATTTCTTATTTCTAGTGCTTGAAGTTTTTCCCGTAGGTCTATGTCATTTGTGTCTTTGTTCTATTATAGATTTTTGTCCTATTGCTTGTAATTAATTTGTCTGATCTTATTTTGTTATTGACTGTTTACTTATCTTCTTTAAGCTTGAGAGGTTTTTTTTATGATTGTTAGGCTAGTATTAGTATTTTGTGATTTTGAAATTTATGAAATTTCAGTGGTCTCAAAAATGTTGATATCATAAAACCCTTACTTAAAGCAAAAATAACTATATTGTCATATATATTGTTATCGTGAAATAAAACAACTAATTTTGGGATATAAGACTGTCATATCGCCAACCCCTACATAACTCGGTACTGTTTATTTGTAAAAATGCATTCAAAATACACTTTTCAAATGACTGTTTGTATTTAATTATACAGAGAGAAAGAAACACACTTACTTATTGAAAATTTACTTGTGTTGTCTTTTCCGGGTAATAATTTCACTCCCCTTGATTTAAAATCTCCAGATCGTTTCACTGCTCAGCAAAAGAAACAAAGAAAATTAGGCACATTTTCAATCTGTGTAGGTGAGATTTAAAAAGCCTGCTGCTAAATTACATGAGCGATAGTTTATCTAATAAACTTAGTTAATTAAAACACAAATAAACAAAATGTGACAAAATGGTTCCTGTGAGACGTGTATTGTCTGTGTGAAAATATAATTATCTTAGTTTTTTTCTTTACTCTCATGCTTTGCTTCTATTTAATTCTAGAATTCATCTTTTAGATTTGCTTTCAATCAAATTAAACGAAAATAACTTGTGGGTCATGCTTTGATTCAACTTTTGACAGGTCATCTTCCGTTCCTTGTTATAAGAAATCAAGTAATTTAATTAGCAGCTGATTAAGATGTACAAGCTGATTAAAGATTTTTCTGATATTGCAGCCTGCACATAGTTTCTTAGATTGACAGGGTGAATCCCGTAATAGAGGTCATACTATGACCCACAATCAAAAGAAAAAAAAGAAATGATATTATGCATGATTTTGAATTGTAAGGCAAAATGAAATTAAGTATTTTAGTGCAGTTTAAGCAGATGAAAAACTAAGTTCATCCGAAACAATCTGTTAACTAAACTTGAAAGAGAAACTATTTACGGAGACTTTTTATACAGAAACTAGCATGACCGATGACAATCAATTAAGGAAGGAAACAGGAACAAGTGGAATAGGAAACCCAAAGAAATGTAACAGACGGTCAAAACACTATCAAAATAAAAGTC